ACCAAGCAAGCTTTAGAATAAATACATACATTTTCGACTCCAACTAAGACAAGTCATCATGGTTTGGCTTCTCGTATTGGGTCCGGGTTCACCCACTAAACTAGCGGGGTCAAGCTCGACCCTACAAGTGCAACATACTATCAACCGGTTTATTAGTGGGCCATAATTAGATAAAAGAGATTGATCACTCATTGTATGATCATAAATACATTTTCTAGGATATCAATTCTCCCTTTTAAATTATTGGTAACTCCCAAGTTGCCCTGTAAAGTATCAATTTATCTATTTTGCTCGTGAGTTATGTTTATGATTTCAATATTATCATTTTGTTAGTCTACGATCAATATTTAATAGGCCAATGATGCAACCGTGTTTTGTTGTGTTTCTTCATGAGCTTTTATCGTTTGTCTCATTTTTCCTCAAATTAAAAAACACTTTTCTTAAACTATTTTCTCTCAAAACTGTTTACCTTAATTCTTTTTATGAATTACAAAAGCATCCTTTAGATTGCAAAAAAATTACAATAAATGCAAAAAAAAATATTATCATGTTATTAATCTCTTAAATATTTTACTGTATATTTACACAATGATCACATTGGACACATGCACATAATTTAAAGGAAAAAAAAATAGTCAAATTGATACTTTACGAACAATCTACGAGTTCTTCAATATTTCAAAGTTAAAAATAATAATTTTGTCCTACTTTCTATATGGTGGAAAATTATAGGTAGATGTTAAACTTATATTTTATTTCACCCATGGATCAAACTGTAACATCCCCCGCCCCCACATTTTGGACGCAAGGAGTTGGAAGAACTGTGTGATACGGTATCCCATAAAACGATCTAATCCACTCACGACCCCACCGACGTAACATGGGCCAATGGGAACTCCCCAGCTAGGACAACGCCCATTTGCATCACGTGACCGTTGATCTCGACCCGCCATTTTAAATCAACTTAGATTCCAAACGCCAAAAAGGAAAGCAGCATCAAGTGGGCCCCACGGAAACCCGCGGCCCACCAACGACCTCAGACCAACCACAAGATAGATGAACCCGCCGCTCTCAGCCGCTCAAATCCGGCCACGCGTAACCCGACGGATTCTCCATCCCATCGCCTCCATTTATTAACCTCTCCGACGGCATTCTTTTTCATCGAACAGGTTCAAGAAACAGAGCCTTGAAAAAACAACATGATGAGGGACTGTGATTCTTGTAGATCAGCGCCGGCGTCGGTCTACTGCGAGGCAGACGCGGCGTCGCTGTGCTCGGCGTGCGACGCTGAGGTTCACGCGGCGAATTTTATCTCCCATCGTCACCACCGGGTCCCGGTGGTCGGAATGGAGGAGTATAATGAAGGCGAGCAGAGTAATTACGCTGCTTTGTTTGGTGAGGAGGTGGATGAGTATTTGGATTTGGTCGAGTTCGGTTCTTGCGAGGAGAAGAAGAGTGGGCTGAGCTTTGAGTGCGTGAAGAGCGAGGTGAGTGAAGGGGTTGTGCCTGTCCAGAGTTTAGTCGTGAATGAGGAGATGAAGGAGGATTATGATGAGTCTGCAATGAGACATGGGGTGGGTTTTTTTTTATTATCCTCAATTTCTTTCTTTTCTTTTGATTTTTTTTTTAAAAAAAAATCTTTGTAATGGTCTGAAAAATGTTTAATTGGAACTATTATGATGCCTATCTTATAGCTTGAAATTTCATGGTGGTGATTCATATTATGTAGGGTATTAGGAAATTAGAAATAGAGACCATGTCAGAGTTCGGATATTTGCTTGAGACGAGGAATACGAAAGTTTAGTTATGAATGCAGATGAATTGATATGTGATCTGTTACAAAGTTTTGCTTTACTCTTATATTTTATTTAAATCATTTTCTTTGATGAACTTGATTATAGGTCAGAATTTTATTAGCCTTGTACATGATAGCTATTTGATTTTGTTTTTAGTAGCTCAGCTGCCTATAGATTAAAATAATGACCGTTTCTAATATTTAATCCACAGTTCTGTTTTCTAAGGTCAAATTTTATTAGTCAATTACTTTTTTTTTTTGGGGGGGTGTGTTGCTCTTAAGATGACCTGCTAACTATATGGAATTTCATTTATTAGTCATTAGGGAATAGTTCGATAGAAACATATTTGTCTGATACAAAATTTAATACTGACCCTATGATCCACTGTCTCAGGTCCCCTTGTCATCCGTGGAAACAAACAGCGTAGTCCCAGACTCTACATCAAACCCCCACATTCGACCTTCAAAAGGAACCATTGAGCTCTTCTCTGGCCCTCCAATCCAAGTCCCAACTCAATTCTCCACCGTGGACAGAGAAGCAAGAGTTCTTCGATACAGAGAGAAGAAGAAGATGAGGAAGTTTGAGAAGACGATAAGGTATGCATCCAGAAAAGCCTACGCTGAAGCCAGACCGAGGATTAAAGGGAGATTTGCTAAGAGATCAGATGTTGAGCTTGAAGTTGATCAGATGTTCTCGAATTATGTGGTTGTGTCTGAAGAGGGGTATGGGATTGTACCCTCATTCTAGTGTTTTGTGAGGGGGTGGTATATATGTTGGTACTATTGATTCAAGACTTTATGCAGGTTTAATGTAGTTTGAAGCAATGAGGTTTATATGGATCATTGCTGTGAGCCTGCATTATTTGGTCTTCTTTTCTGTATATGAATGATTTTGCATCCTAAATTTGTTTGTTTCGCAAGCTCATGCTATTTTTTGCACGTGCATTCAGGGCAATTTGAACATGAAGGAGCTTGATGCTATCTTAAAGTCTCTACTATCTTAAAGTCTCTACTGTTGTATCTCAACCCAAAGTTCATATGGGAGCTAAGGATTATAATTTTCTCTGACAACCTAAATCAGGCAAAAATAGATGCACAGACTTGCCGTAACCCTGCTTGTTTGATCACATTTAGTTTTAGTATAGGAACGGATTTGCATCATAAACCTCAACTGCTATGCAGATTTCTGGGTGTTAGTTCATATTTCATGATTTTTCTTTTACCTGAATTAATATAATGATGTGTAAATTCCCTAAATTTGGTGATTACGGATTATACATTTACTCTTTTGACAACGTTCAGGCCAAATGGATGCATAAAGATTGCACACCCAAATAGCGACACGAGGGATTAATGGAGCTTTCATTTGGAAGACCTAAAGACGATAACTCTCATTTGGAAGACCTAAAGACGATAACTCTCAGTCGATACTTTATCGACTCGTACATGAAACTCCCTCAATCAGCACCCAATAGGTCCCAAGATCAATCAATCCATCCTGATTGCATTCTAATTACAACAGATTCTCCTTGCTTAAAAGGCTAAGAATACATAAATCTCTTGAATTCAACAGAGTAAACCTCTGCAAATTAAAGGGATAAACTCTTTCTGAATTAATGGTGAAAATGATGGTGAACTATCCCCTTGAAAATTAATTTCTCTTATTAGTTAACCCTTCTCAGGGTTTCTCCTTCCGGGGGAGCAAAGTTAAAAGGTGCTGGCTAATCTTTCCAATTCAAGGTATGTATGCTACAAATTTTATTGTCATTATACAAAATTACAGAAGTACGGTAAGGAATACAACCGACAATTCAATGACGCCATATGCCAATAGTACAAAGAATTAGCATTAACCAATAACAACAATACAGAAACCAACTCTAACAATAACTAGACAGGATAATAAAAGTTTATCACTAAAAAGGTATATAAATATGCAGTTGAAACTTACAAAGGTTCAATTAAAGCAAGAAACTGTGTTTTGCTTTAGGATGAGAACTTTGAAATGAGCTTATCGACATGAATGATTATATCATCAATCTGAGGCCGGATTGTAGGCTGAGGCTGGAGCATCCAAAGAACAAACTGATGAAGAGCTTCTGGGTAAGGGGGATTGGGACCTGCCGGCCATTTTACTTGGGCATTCATAATGGCAAGTTGTAAGCTTCCTCCAGATTCATCAAGCACATATTCAAAAGGGGATACACCATACCTGGAAGATTCAGTGTAAAGACAGAACTTTAAAACCCACAATCCAATAGAGTCCGAGAAACTTGGAAGTATAGAACATCATTATGAACCATCAATTGTTTCCTCAGGTCATACAAACAACATAATCATGAACGGTGACTCTTATTGAAACCACTATATGCAAACTACAAAATGGGCTAAAGGCATCAGAAGAATATTTACTGCTGTTATCTTCCTTTTCTTTTCAGATTAGAATTAAAAAATACATTTTCAATAACATTTGATATAAAAATAACTTATTTCTCAGTTGCATTACCATATAAATTAATTTAATTTCAATAGTTTAAACCCATCAGAAAACATGTTTTGTTGATTTCACATACATGGGTTTCAAAATTGATGTTTTAATTGTTCATGTCTTCCCAAATAAATGTTTCTTCAGAGTCCTATCCCCGTCAAAAACCTGCCTTCTCTGCTGTACCTGTGCTTCACTTTAAAACAAGTCCCCTTAATAATACTATTCTTCTAATCATAGAGATCGATGGATGCTTTTAATTTAAGGTCTATTGGTTGAAAATGAGAAGAAGAACATACAAACAAAGAAGCATGCAACTTGATGTATCAATGAAAAGAAACAAAACTCATACATTATAGCATATAAGGTACATCCCAGAGACCAAATATCTGTCCTTGCATCAATGTCAGTTTGGCTTGGGCAATCCCACAACTCAGGAGCTCGGAAAGGTGCAGAACAATGCTCAGCAGCCCATTCCTATACATATTCATAAAAGAAAATTAAGAAGTGAAGAACAATAACAGGTCATCAAGCTACTTACTAGAGCTGCATACGGAAAAGAATTTGCTGCAATGATTCCATACGAGAAGACTAAATTCTCAGCTCAAAAGGACAACAGTAATTTAGTGGCCACCATAAGAAGTTCATGGAAAAACAAAACTCAAAAGAGGATCATAATTCCAAACTTCAGTAACAACTACTTTTTCAGTTTAGGCGCTCAGATAAAAGAGTTAACTGCTTCAAAAATACTAAATAATATTGGATATCTTTATTCTTTAAAACACGGCCATCTGACTCATATTCCACGTGGTGGGAAAAACAACTCTCCAAAATCCATACAACAAAAATGTGGCTATTCATGAGTGCTTTTTATTTATTCATGAATATATATACATTTAACTCATTTCGACATATGTTCTCAGTTAATTATATACAAAGGAACCAAAATAAGAACTAGCTATAAAACTGTTAGCTTCTGCCTGCAACATAAGAGCATAAAGGGATGATGGAATCAGCAGAGATGTTGCGTCTTGATTCTCTTACTTACAATTTTCGTTCTCCTAATGTTAGTTCGTACAGCTGACTCCAAAAATACTAAATAATATCGAATATCTTTATTCTTTAAAACACGGCCATCTGACTCATATTCCACGTGGTGGGAAAAACAACTCTCCAAAATCCATACAACAAAAATGTGGCTATTCATGAGTGCCTTTTTTATTTATTCATAAATATATATACATTTAACTCATTTCGACATATGTTCTCAGTTAATTATGTACAAAGGAACCAAAATAAGAACTAGCTATAAAACTGTTAGCTTCTGCCTGCAACATTAGAGGATAAAGGGATGATGGAATCAGCAGAGATGTTGCGTCTTGATTCTCTTACTTACAATTTTCGTTCTCCTAATGTTAGTTCATACAGCTGACTGCAGATTTTTGATTCTCTTACTTACAATTTTTGTTCACCTAATGTTAGTTCGTACAGCTGACTGCAGATTTTCCTAACTAAAATTTTTCTGTCTTGCGAAAAAATCATAACCCACAATATTGAAACTGGTGACATCAAAAGCTTAATAGAAGATTAGGGCAGCTTCTGACCCTAAAATGCACAATAGATCTTAGTTAAATGAGTGTACACTTTTTGATCTCTAAACTTTTATTAAGTGGCAACCAGATTCCTCAGATACCCTTGAAGACTTATTCAAACAAATGCAACGCCACTCTGCAAAAGGTACATGGAATTCTACCCACAAATAAGTGGTCACAGGAAAATCTCAATTTTGTCAACATAACCAGTAACGCTAACATAACAGAAAAATGTCATGCCACTCACAGTCAGATTAATGCCGTGCGCCGTGTGGAAGCATGCTCGCAAACCAAACGAATCGTTGAGCGATGAGAGAAGAATCAAACACGAGTGCAATTCACAAATCAACAGCCAAAATCACACAAACACAGAGATATACATGGTTCGGCAATTGTCGACGTCCACGGGGAGAGGATGGGGAGATTTCATTATATGGAGGAGAATTACAATAGGTTACAACTCACAAAAACTCTCAAATATAACTCTAACCAAAGATCTCAACTCCCTCCCAATATCTCCCTTTCAAAGTGCTCAAAACAATGCTAATTCTCTGGTTAAGAAACCCTAAAAAACGTGTTTCTATTTATAACAAAACACAATCCAAAACAGGATGGGAATCTGAAAACGCGTCTGCCACACCCGGGTGTGGCACGCACCACACCCCTGACAATAGAGCAGATTCTGCCACACCCGGGTGTGACACGCACCACACCCCTGACAACAGGGCAAATTCTACCACACCTGGGTGTGGCACGCACCACACCTGTGACTTGCTGAATTTTCACATTTTTCAACACATTGAACAAATGACACCGTTTTCTACAATTCTCCACCTCGGCGAAGTATTCCTAAAACTGAGCCGACACCAACATGAGCACCAATGCGTCGTTTCGCCAAATCCGACTGCACCAATATAGTTGCCTACGTACCCCCTCTCCCAAATGATCAAGCCGCCCGTAGTTCATCCAAATGGCCTCGAAAGACCTCAACAATCACGATTCACAAATGTGCAATATGTTTCTACAATGATCGAACTTATTGCTCGGAACCACCTTCGTGAACATATCTGCTGGATTATCTTTTGTGTGAATCTTCATAAGCTTCACATCATCATCTTCAAGAACATCCTGAACGAAGTGATAACGAACGTCGATATGCTTCGTCCTCGCATGAAAGATCTGATTCTTCACCAAATAAATAACACTCATGCTATCACAATAAATGGTGATGGATCGCTGCGAAACACCAAAATCTTCCAAAAGTCCTCCAAGCCAAATCACCTCCTTAACAGCCTCTGTAATCGCCTATACTCTGCCTCCGTCGTCGATAAAGCTATCGTAGACTGCAAGGTGCATCTCCAACACACCGATGCACGGGTCAAAGTAAACACATATCCCGTCGTCGACCGGCGTTCATCCAAATCCCCAGCGTAGTCCGAATCTACGTATCTAATACATAGCTGCCCACTGCTAGTGTCCCATTCAAAAACCAAACCAACGTTGAGAGTACCTCGAATGTATCTCAAAATCCATCTTATGGCATCCTAATGACTCGGACCCAAGTCGTACATGTATCTTGAAATCATGCTCACTACTTGTGACATCCGACCTCGTACAAACCAGGGCGTACATCAAACTTCCCACTACGCTCGCATATGGAGTCTTTAACATCAACTCTCTATCTTCAACTGTCTTTGGTGAAAGGTCAGCTGAAAGCTTCAAATGGGCTCCCAATGGTACACTAACTGGCGTCGTCTCCATACTCACATTAAACCACTATAGCACATTCTTCAAATAAGTCATCCGTGTCAAACAAATTATGTCCATATCTCTGTCTCTACCGATCTCCATCCTTAAAATGCGCTTCGCTTCACCCAAATCTTTCATCTCGAACTCTTTCAAAATTTGTACCTTCAACTCATCTATAGCGGATCTAGAAATAGAAGCAACCAACATATCATTGACATAAAACAACAAATAAATGTACGCACCTCCTCGCAACTTGCGATAGTACACGCAATGATCAAACTGACTCCTAATGTACGAATGACCGAGCATAAACTCATCGAATCGCATATACAACTATCGCGGAGATTGCTTCATACCGTATAGCGATTTCTTCAATCTGTAAACCAATTTCTCCTTCCCTGCAGCTCGAAACCCCAATGACTGAGTCATATAGATTTTCTCATCAAGATCACCATTAAGAAACACCGTTTTCACATCCAATTGATCCAATTTCAAACCATACTGTGCTACCAAAGCTAGCAAGATCCGAATTGAAGAGTGCTTCACCACCGGAGAAAAGACCTTATTGTAATCAATGTCTTCTTCCTGTGCATAACCCTCCAACGTAGCTTTGAACCTCACGGGAGTGCCCTCAATGCCCTCCTTCGTATACACTCGCTTGCAACCAATAGTCTTTCGCCCCTTTAGAAGCTCAATAAGCTTCCATGTGTCGTTCTTTTGAAGAGATTTCATCTCCTCCCGTATAGCTTCCTGTCACAAATCAACCTCTGAACTCTGCTCAGCCTCTCTAAATGTAGTAGGAACCATCTCCTCGATACTCTCCAATGGAAGTGCATAAGCAATGATTGTATTCGTATACCTAGCTGACAACCGTATGTCTCTCCTGGGTTTTCGAACCGCAATCGAATCATGAACCTGAGCCGTCGGTCCCTGATTCTGCTCTGCTGAACGCTTGTATGCCTCTAAATGCTCACTGTGCTTGTCTGGTGTCACCTTAGACGACACTCTAATGGATATTATACCATTTTGACACTGTAAAGCTGCATCAATCTCCACCACCTGCGATATCTTCTCTCTCGGGGTGCTCTCCACCTGATGAGAGCTGGGAAGCTTCAAGATCAAAGCATTATCGAAAGTGACGTCTCTACTCAGCACAATCTTCTTATCAACTAGATCACAAAGCTTGTATCCTTTAACACCATGCTTGAATCCCATAAATATGATATTTCTACCTCGAGGTTCTAATTTATCAGTCTTCACATGATAAAATGCAAGGCACAAATACCTTGAGCTGATCATAATCGCGTGTTGGCTCTCTTGACCATATCTCCATAGGGGTTTTCCCCTCAATCGCAGATGAAGACAGCCTATTAATGAGGTGGCTCGCATATAAAAGTGCCTCAGCCTAAAAAATCTTCTCCAAACCACTCTGCGATAACAAACATCAGACTTTCTCCAGTAAAGACCGATTCAATCTCTGTCACCCCATTCTGCTGTGGCGTATGACTAATTGTGAAGTCTCTTTATACCCTTGTCTCGACATAACTGGGGTCTGAAGTGTACTCGTCGCCGTTATTGGATCTCAACGTCTTGATCTTTCTCTCGGTCTACAGTTCTAATCTTCTCTTTCGCTCCACAAATAACTCTAGGACTTCATTCTTATGCTTCATGGTGTACACCTAACGTCTAGAATAGTCATCTACAAACGTGATAAACTAATGTTAACCACCAAGTGATGTCATCTTGGTAGGACCCCAAATATCTGTGTGCACGTAATCCAAGATGTCTATTATCCTATGTACGGTTGTCCCGAACTTCACGTTAATCTTCTTGCCAATAACGCAGTGCTCACAGAATTTTATCTTTCCATTCTTGACTCCCTTCAATAACCCCTACTTGTACCAAACCTGCAGTGACTTTTCACCTGTGTGTCCCAAACTGTAGTGCTAAAATCTGCTTGCGTCCGCCTCTGAAACAGCTGAAGCTATCTGGCCAATTCCGATGCTCCACTTCAGATAATAAAGATTTCTAATGCGGACTCCCTTCATCACTATCAAAGATCCCTTAGTAACTTTTGCTACAACGTTCTCAAAATCACCTGAATCCCGCCTCTAAAACTCCAACGAAAATATGATTATTCTTCAACTGAGCAATAAATCTCACTTCATTCAGCTCTCAAACTCCATCGTGCATCCGAATCCTAACGATACTTATCCCACAAATACCACAAGATTAATCATTTTTTATGACTACCACACCCCATCAAGCTTCTAGAAAGATGCAAACTAATCTTGCTGGGGAGTCACATGATAAGTAACGCCAGAATTCAGCATCTAATCCGATGGATTCGCATGGTTCAGCTCTGGAGTAATCAATAGAGAAAAGCAGGAATCATCTGAATCATCACATTTAGCGACATTCACCTCATTGGCCTTCGGGCCCTTCTTGTTATTCACCTTTTCTCTGAGCTTCGAATAATCTCTTTTACAATATCCTTGTTCTTTACAGAAAGCACACTGGTTCTTTGCTAATTGGTAGTGACCTCTAGACTTTGACCTGCCTCTATTGTCACCTCTTGGATAGGGACTCCTTCTCGTCGATAAGGCCTCTCCTGAAATGCTAGCTCTGGAAGTCTCTTTGTCATTCCTCCTCAGATCGTAATTCGTCAACGTATTAGTCACTTTACTATATGTGATGGAAGATCTACCATTCAACAAAGTGAGTACAAAAGTATCATACTCCTCATTGGGTAAGGAGTCTAACAAAATAATCACATTGTACTCATTTGTTATCTTCTCATCAACGTTCACCAAGTCAGACAATAACTTTGTGTAGTTGTTCACATGATCCGCAAGTGAGGTACCCCTGGACATCTGGAATTTGAACAATCTTCGCAGCAAGTGCAAACGATTCACAACAATCTTCGTAAGATATTTGTTATTGAGAATCTTCACATCTTCATCGCAGATGTCACGCCAATCATATCATACTTCAATTCATATTCCAAACAAGACCTCATTACCCCACAAGCGTTTTGATTCATCTTGTCTCATATCGTCTCATCATATTTCAGTGGCATCTCATAGATCATGATGGTCTCTTCCAAATTTTAAACATTTAAAGCGTTCTGTACGTCGTTCATCCACAAACCAAAGTTAATTATACCATTGTACTTCACAACACTAATCTTTGTATTCTAAAGTGCAACATGAACTGTAGTCGTCACCGTCTTGCTGCTTTTACCAACTTCTCCCATTGCAAACTAACTCCAATTGTAAAGAAAGATTCAAACTTGATAGAATTAAGAAATTACCCAACTAAACCCTAGATAGGGTTCCAATACGATCTCCTAACCACACGAGAAAAGCAAGATCTCCAATGGCAACTTCGCAATACTATCTCCACCGAAGCCTAGATCTACAAGACCCAAGCTTCAAACAATGAATCTTCCTCCACCCAATGCAAAACCCTAGATCTGAAAATCTGAGCTCTGATACCACTTGTCGCGTGCCGTGCAGAAGCGTGTTCGCAAACCAAACGAATCGGTGAGCAATGAGAGAAGAATCAAACAGAGATATACGTGGTTCGACAATTGCTTACGTCCACGGGGAGAGGATGAGAAGATTTTACTATATGAAGGAGGATTACAACGGGTTACAACTCACACAAACTCTCAAATATAATCCTAACCAAAGATCTCAACTCCCTCACAATATCTCCCTCTCAAAGTGCTCAAAACAATTCTAATTCTCTGGTTAAAAAACCCTAAAAAACGTGTTTCTATTTATAACAAAACACAATCCAAAACAGAGTGTGAATCTGAAAACGCGTCTGCCACACCCGGGTGTGGCACGCACCACACTCCTAATAACAGGACAGATTCTGTCACACCCGGGTATGACATGCACCACACCCCTGACAAGTTCTGTCATACCTGGGTGTGACACGCACCACACCTGTGGCCTGCTGAATTTTCACGTTTTTCAACACATTGAACAATTCAACGCCGTTTTCTACAATTAATTCTAGTTAATGCAACCTAATATTAGGACTATCAGAATAGTTTCTCTGATGCGATATAGAACCCTTACCTGTAACTGTAAAGCTTCTGAACGCGATCGAATTTCCTTCTTTGCAGGTCGAGCACTTCCAAAATCCATTAATATGGCAAGAGGTGGCTGTCCCTTTCTATGCGTTATGAGGACATTGCCTGGTTTGACATCATTGTGAGCATACGGAGGATCAAAACTGTGCATGTGCTTCAGTCCTGCACAAAGCTGTCAATAATCATAGTGTTAAAATACAGAGATCCATACTTTACATATCTATAAGCAGGAGAAACGAAAAAGATGGAAATGCCTTGAAAATAACAGAGAAAAATTATCTGATCTTGGCTAACAAAGTGGAAATGAAAAGTTTCAGATTAAGCCAGGTTTTTTACACGCTGTCAATTGTTATGCCTTTACCTCATTATGTTGAAGTTTCCCGGGTATTCAAAAGTTGAAAAATGTTAACACAAACACAGACCCACTGATGACTGCCAGCATTCTAGATCAGCACACAAACATATCGCATTAAGCAAATTAGACTATTATCTCTTAACCTATAGAGCTCCTATCACCAAAGTTCGAGCATCAAACACAGTGATAAACAAGATTCAAAGTTCCCCAGTAATAGCACAAACTGAACGAGCTAAAATGTTGCACCCGTCACTTGATAAATTGTACAGTTTCATACTAATGTATGTTAAATATCACATTAGAGCCTTGAATCATCTATGGATTCACTTAATCAATTGCCTAATATGTTGCTTCATTTGTATCACACAATGAATTATTTTCAGGACATAATCAGGTATGAATCAGTACTATTATAAATTTTGTAATTCGGGGAAAAGGCTTTTTATTTAATGGACACAAAATTAATATCAAGTTTGCTCAACACAAATGAACATTTCAAAATTAAATTTTTCGTTAGAGTATGAGGGCTAGATAGAATGGTGTCAAACATCACTTTTTATATTGAATGAAATTAAGTCTACAATCAATTTGTAAACTCATTTGAAACAACCTGGCCTTGGGATTAACAATTAAAATTGCTGACAACAGAATAAAATGTTATTTCTTCAAAGATATATTGTCAATTAGGAATAAAGGGTGAGTATATAACACAAAATGGACGCGGACAAGGATGAGTATTTATTAATTATTAAATATTTCAAATTGAAAACCTGAGTTCATTTGTATCATTATTGCTCATATAGTTACATTCTGTTACTTCAAATGAAGGACCTTTAAACAGCAGTTGTAAAACAAAACGACTTTAAAATAGGAGAGTTGTTGCTGCATCTGAATTGAAGAGTGTTCCAACACTAGGAATTAGAATCACATCATGGGGTAAATGTATTTGCTATTCTAACTTTCCTAACCAAACATGCTATTCCATGAAAACACTTACCATAAGCAACGCCAACCACACTCTAGACTCTCCACTGTAACAGAGTGATCCAAGTGTATAGAACCTTATACTACCTTGTGTTTCTAACTGTCACTGAAGCACATGCTACCAGATTTTTGCAATGATCAAACATCACCTGACTAGCGAGGGTTGAAGGACATCAATTAGGGAACACAGAGATCATTTATCATATTGATACAAGCACTATCAATATAACTATAATCCAATAATAATGAACAAATGCTGCAGCCGCTTCCTCTCGACAATGTGGTCTGACTAAAAACCAATAGTGGAGGCAGGCAGAAAGAGGAAGCATCGATTTTAAGGGGAAAATATAATTTTGCAATGTAATAGAGAAAAACACTTGCAATCCAATCTCATCCTCCAGACACTAAAGAGTCTGTTAGGCTCAAACAATTGTTGAGGCAGGCCCAGGTAGGAAACAATATGAAACATCATCAAATCCATCCACTTAGGGGTACAGAGGGTAGTCTAGACACATAGATCATCCTATCTATCATTATTTAGCATTTTTTCCCGAATGAATTATGATAAATTCAGTGAGATCGGAGATCATTTTTACAGATGCAGACAACAACTTCAAAGATGCAACAAAAAACCATTTAAATCACCAAAAGAAGGTCCCAAACTACGGACACTATTCAGTTTATGTTTGCAAATAACAGAGCATTTTATGTTGTCAATCATGCATTAGCAGATACAGCACTAATTGAATTATTGAAATATGATAAAGAACCAAATAAGAAGGTTATTGCAAAGTAGGAGAGTGCTTTGTAGATCCACCTGTCGAAATATTTGAAGCACAGTAAAAGTCGGGTAGAACTCTTTCTTTGTTTGCATGGTTTTTGCATTGTCCAACAATGTTCCATCCAAATGAACCGGAAATAACAAGTATGCTTCGTGTTGCCATGATCCTTGTTGGTTACCCTGATAAAATCCAATTATTAACTAAAACATAATGTGAACCAAAATAACAACTATAGATTAAGTGAATAGGGCTTAATTTCTACTTATCTACACAAGAATGTTTAGACTAAGTCTCCCATAAGTCAGGTAAGAGTTGCAGCAAATATAAGTCCCTCAAGAAATATGCAAGGCGCAATTGGTCATATCATATGCAAACTTGGTGAACTTGGTATCTAAAGAAGAAAGCAATGCACAGAGATCTTGGAATTTAAAACATTTTGAAATCAAGGAGTGTTCCACCTATGCTAGTTTAAATTCATGACTTTATCATCACCATGCCTATAATAACCATTTGTGCAAAGATTTCATGTTCTGGACACACATAAAGCAAAGCTAATGCATTCTTAGATAACTAAGTAGTCCGTGTCAGTATAATTTGATAAAAAAATTCTTGCATAATATAAATTTCAAAAACAATTAACCACAAGGGAACAACTTCTCGACCTAAAGTTAAAAGAATGAATTTGACAGAAAATCTGAAACATTACCAATTTAGAGTGGAAAATTTCTAGTCACTGCATGCAAAGTACAAATACTACTTGTTTTTACAGAATTTGTGATGATTATCTCATTTCAAAACAAGGTATCACTGCCAACAATGAAAAACTAAACAGGTATTGCAGGATCCATTTACCTAGTTCTTAAACTTCCATAAGACTAAGATGCACATTTGATCAGACTAACAAGTTTACTTTAAACTACGGAACCATAAGAGCTACGGAACCATAAGAGACGCACATAAAGTATTCAGTATGAGGTTCTATATTTGCACAATAACTGAAGTTAAAAACATTCTCAAAGATAGTTTCTAATTCATTACCTTGACAGCAATGATTGCATGATCAAGAAGTGGAAGCAGATTAGGATGACTAAACAGAGAGGAAACGTGGATCTCTTCTCTCACTAGTGCCAATTGCTCCTCACTTTGAATAAGGACTTTCTTCATAGCATATGTTCCATCCTCTGAATCAACAATGAGAAACCAAATAAGACAAAGTGGCATTGACACCAGAGTGAACTCAATTAAGGCATCCCATAAGCATTTTAGCTAGCAAACTTTATGAATTTTGCAAAAAAGGGATACAACTATTAGTTAAGAAATTCAAAAAAAAAATATTAGTATATAAAAGTAGGCTTGAATTGCTTGTTTGCAAGCAAACAAAGTTAGATAGGGTAAAGTAGTCCAACCATATATGGCCATTATCCTAGTAAAAAAGATCTTCTAAGAAATGCATAAACATCAGAAAAATCAAATGCAAAAGAAGAAACAAGTTATAACATAAGAAACACGTTATTAACATTCTCAATGAACTATTAAAGTTTGTTCCTATATTCTAAAAGTCAATGAATGTAGAGGCAGTGATTGAACACATACGTCAAAATAAGTTACATAACATGGTCTCTCTCATCAAATTCTATCCTTTTCCCATCAAGGTAAAGCTTAAATCATTAACAGCGTCGACAAAGCACCCCAAACAGGATCAACCAAGTTACCACTATTGGCTATTAACTAACATCAACCTCAAAGATTTCATGCCAATTTACTAGTAACAAATTACATTCTCTTCTCTAGCCTAAGTCCTAATTTCTCATATTCATAGTTAAGAACACGAAGAAATCTCAGCCGATAAAGTCCAGTTACAAAAATCCCAGCCAAACTTAAGAAATTACTCAGATCACTGTACCCAAAACCAATTCCAACTAAACTTAGCTGAACTGCATCCATATTAAGCTCAAATCATCACACAGCAAGAACAACAACAACGAAAGATTCAACTTTGCGAGATACCCATCAGAATTCACGGCTAAATAAATCAACCCAAATCAAGAAAAGTAGGAAATTGACCTGAAATGTGAGAAGGGTTCTTAATCTTCTTTCCGGCGAGTCCGCCGCTGCCCTGGGACCCGCCGCCGTCGGAGACCACCTCCTTCACTAGGTATACATAAGCGAATCCTCCTTCGCCGAGTTGCCTCAAGATCTTGAACCTGTTCTCATTGATCCAAACGTCACCGCCGCCATTGACGGCGTCGTAGAGAGCGTTCAGACCCGAGAACGAGCATCCCATGATCTTCTTTCCGTCTTTGCCTTCTGCTTGCTGATTGATTTGTTGTCTTTGAGAATGAGATCGATTCAGAGATGGGATCTTTGAAGGAGCTTTTGATCTATTGTGGATCCATGACGGGGCTTTTCTTACGATTTTGGGTTATTAGAGGCTGCAAGTTTGAGTAGATCTAACTCAACTTTGCTCCCCCATCGCACTTGAATTTTGAGGAATTTTTTTGCCCTTTCTCCGTTTTGTTTACTATTTGCAAATTGACATTTTTATAGGAGATTGTATGTAAAAAGTCTCTCGTCCCTCTTTTCCCCTTCTTTTTTCTTTTCTTTGCCCTTTTCGATAATTGAAGTATTAGAAGTAAAAAGGCAGGTTATAGAAGTAACTTTCAGAACTATGGAGTACGAAGGAGTGGAAATAATTTTTTTTTTGTTTCATATGTTTTTAGAAGTAATGGAAGTAGAACTTCTTCCTCTTCATTTAGTTTTTTTTTGTTTGAATATTATTTGGAAATATTACTAGGAAGTTATTTTATCAATGAAAAGTTATTAGAAGTAACTAATAAAGAAAATATTAATAAAAAAATTATTTATTTCCTTATTAATATGCATTTCAACTACTTTTGAGCTACTTCTGAGTATTGAGGATTAGAAAAATATTTTGGAAGTAATAATGACACGTAGGCGTCACATAAGCATTTAAGGAAGTATTGGAAGTAAGTTTTTCAGAGAACCAAACATATATTTTTGTTTGAAAGTAGCAGGAGTAGCATCTACTTATTTTACTTCAGCTACTTCACAATTACTTTCGTGCAAACAAACAGGCCCTTAAGCAGGAAATCATGATCAACATAAGTATATACTACAATAAGATATGGCCATTAACCATTTAATATAAACAACTATTATAAAATAGATACAACATATATGATTCATTTATTATTTTGGAAACCTAAAATGCAATGACCAATGGTTTATTGATAATAAAGAAGAAAAATATTTTACAAAGAAATAAAAAATTAAGGAACTATTGTAATATACTAAAGAAAGGAAAACAAGAGATAAGAGGCAAGAGAAGAAGAGAAATTATAATTTTTATTCCTATTAATCCATTTCCATACATGGTACAATTTATAGATACATGATGGAAGATAAAATGACATTGAGCTAATGAAAAGATACCAAGTTAATAGTTCACATACAAAGTAATGCCCACATACATTTTGTCTTTTAGATTTCAACACTCCCCCTTGGACATTACTTCGAGATGTCAATGCCTCGTTAAAAACCTCGCTAGAAAAATCCAGTGGGAGAAAAACTAGTCGAGGAAAAGAGTACACAACATAAGTAGATTCTTGTGTTGTATTAGTTGCCTTAATAAAAACATTTGGCTAAGAAAACCCTGTTGGACAAAACTTAGCAAAAGGGAAAAAAGTACAATTATAGTCCTTCAAGGCGCAATCTTCGGGATTTCATTGAAAATTCGCTCCCCCTGATGATGACAATCTTCTGAGTCTATGCTAAGAAAAACCCAGTGAGACAAAACTTAGCGAAAAGGGGAAAAATATGATGATAGACCTTCAGGTCCCAATCTTCAGGATTGTTCTTTAAGAATTTGCTCCCCCTGTGCGCATACCAATATCGTTATATATTTCTCATAAGTTGATGTAGATAGAGATTTAGTGAACAAATCTGCAAGATTGTCACTTGAGCGAACTTTTTCGATGGTGATTTCGTCATTCTTTTGGAGCTTATGTGGATAAAAGAATTTTGGCGCAATATGTTTTGTCATGGTTCCTTTTACATATCCACTGCTCATTTGTGCAACACAAGCTGTATTGTCCTCATAAAAGATAGTGGAGGTAATATCGTCTTTCTCTAGACCACACGAGCCACGAATGTGTCGTATCAACGATCTTAACCATACACATTCTCTTGAAGCCTCATATAAAGTGATAATCTCTGAGTGATTAGAAGAAGTAGTCACCATGGTCTGCTTAACAGACCTCCAAGAAACGGCAGTACCACCACAGAGAAAGACATAACCAGTCTGAGATCTGGCGTTATGGGGATCAGACATATAGCCATCGTCCGAATAGCCCACCAATGTCATATCTTGGTTTCTTTTATAGAATAGTCCAAGATCTTTTGTACCTTGAAGATAGCGAATGATATGTTTACCACTATTTCAATGCCTCATTGTAGGAGAAGCACTATACCTTGCTAGCAAGTTCACCACAAATGCAATATCAGGCCTGGTGCAATTTGCGAGATAGAGGAGTGCTCCAATGGCGCTCAGATAGGGAACTTCTGGCCCTAACATTTCTTCATTATCTTCTTTGGGTCTAAATGAGTCTTTATCCACTTCGAGGGACCGGACGATCATTGGTGTGCTAAGTGGATGAGATTTATCCATATAAAATCTTTCCAAAATCTTTTTCACGTAGGTCGACTGGTGTAGAAAAATTCCTTCTGGGAAATGCTCAATCTGCAGGCCGAGACAAAACTTGGTTTTTCCCAAGTCTTTCATCTCAAACTCCGTCTTTAGGCATGAGCTAGCTTCTGTAAGCTCCTTGTGCGTTCTAATGATATTTATATCATCAACATAGACTGAGATGATACAGAAACCATTTTTGAATTTCTTTATAAACACACAAGGGCAGACATCATATTTGCATATCCCTTCTTCAGGAGGAACTCACTCAGTCAATTATACCACATTTTACCCGACTATTTCAAGCCGTATAACGACCTTTGCAATTTAATGCTATACATGTTGCGATTCTCATTTTCTCTCAATTCAGGGATTTTAAGTCCATCAGGGACTTTCATATAAATATTAGCGTCCAGTGACCCATATAAATATGCGGTCACGACGTCCATCAACTGCATATCTAAATTCATTGTTGCTGCCATTGATATTAAGTAGCGGAACGTAATATCATCCATAACCGGAGAATATTTTCATTAAAATCAATGTCGGGTCTCTACGTAAACCCTTGAGCTACTAATCTCGCTTTGTATCTCACCACCTCATTATTCTCGTTTCTTTTTTCGTACAAAGACCCATTTATATCCTACAGGGATAATATCATCAGGTGTACAGACTACAGGTCCGAATACTTTTCTTTTATTTAGCGAGCCGAGCTCTACCTCTATTGCTTCTTTCCATCTCTCCCAGTCTGAGCGCTTCCGGCACTCTGCTATTGACTTAGGCTATGGATCCAGATTATCAATGGAGATGAAAAGAGCTATCGTGGAGGCAAATATGTTGTCGACAACTGTTATAGTTCTATTATATGTTTTTTCGGTATTCACAAAATTTTAGCTACTTCTATGTTTATATCCACCAAATCTTCATCATTTCCCATAACATTTGGATTTGGTTGTTCCTTAACTGCAACCCCAGTGCGATGATTATCAAGTGCACATGTAAGTTTACTGGGGCTTTTGCCTTCAGGACGATCCTCTTCAGGAGGTTTTGGGAGTGACTGACTTTCTTTATTATATTTAGTTTGCCGCGGATTCTTATCTTTCGTACCGATCGGTCTCCCACGCTTCTGGCGTAGTGGAGCATCATTTGATATACTCAGTCCCTATAGGATTTCCACTCTTTGTGGTGCATTTACAGCAGTCACTCCCTTGTGATCAGTGAATGCGTCTGGCAACTTATTTGCTAAATTTTGCAAATTAATTATCTTATGAACTTTAAGTTCAGTCTGACTAGTACGTGGGTCTAAATATTGAAGATCTTTTTCTTACCACGATATTTCCCGAAATTCATTTATTTTTTGGTGTTTATCTCCCCCTAATGTCGGGAAATGATCTTCATCAAATATGCAATCAGCGTACCGAGTAGTAAATTGATCCCCTGTCATGGGCTCTAGGTATTTTATAATTGACAGAGTTTCATAACTGATGTATATACCTAGCTTTCGTTGAGGGCCCATAGAGGTACGCTTGGGTGGTGATATTGGAACATAAACTGCACATCCAAAAACACGCAGATGAGAAATGTTTGGTTCTTTACCACGCACTAGTTGTAAGGGGGAATAATCATGATATGCAGTGGGTCGGATTTGAATTAACGCAGCAGCATGTAAAACGACATGTTCCTAACAAGAAATAGGTAGTTTTGAATTTTGTAATAATGGCCTAGCAATTAATTTGATCCTCTTAATTAAGTTTTGAATTTTGTAATAATGGCCTAGCAATTAATTTGATCCTCTTAATTAACGATTCTGCTAAACCATTTTGAGTGTGGACCAATTAATTTGATCCTCTTAATTAACGATTCTGCTAAACCATTTTGAGTGTGGACATAAGGAACTGGATGCTCTACTTTAATACCCAATGCCATACAAAAATCATCAAATGATTTGGATGTGAACTCGGCAGTATTATCCATACGAATAGATTTAATTGGAAAATTAGGAAATTGAGCTCGTAATTCAATGATCTTTGCTATTAATTTAGCAAAGGCATTATTACGGGTGGATAACAAGTTTACATGAGTCCACCGAGTAGAGGCATCGATCAAGACCATAAAGTATCTAAATGGTCCTGATGCAGGATGAATGGGTCCACAGATATCTCCTTGAATCCTCTGAAGGAAAATGGGAGATTCAACATTCACTTTAGTACGAGAAGGGTGTACTATAAGTTTTCCTTTAGCACAAGACTCACAAATATAGTCTAACGATGAGGGGACATTGCTGCTTGGCATATTATGCCCAATTGAATTTAATATTATCCGACGCATCATATTTTGCCCAGGATGACCCAATCGCTCATGCCATAATTTAAATGAATTTTGGTCTTTAAAGTTTGAACTCATCGCAACATGGTTAGTATTAGGTCGGATATATGTGTAGTACAACCCTGAGGAGAAAGATGGAAGCTTCTCTATAACCTGCTTCCGACATCTAATTAACTGAGTCATGAGAAGATGTTCAGCACCATTCTCATTTTTGGTTTTAATATGAAAACCATTAGACCGAATATCTTTAAAACTAAGAAGGGTACGTTTAGATTCTGGATATAATAATGCATCATTGATAATTAATTCTGTACCCATAGGAAGTATTAGTGAAGCTCTGCCGGAGCCTACTATCAACACATTGTCGTTAGCAATGGTGGTTACACTTCCTTATTTTTCAGTCAAAGTTAGGAAAAAAATTCTATCTTTCAGGATAGTATGTGTGGTAGCACTATCTACCAAACACAAGATAGTCTCCTTCTTCATGGGTTGTATGCGAGAGTTGTCGTGCTATTTAAAAAAATGAAATATTCATATAAGCACAAAAAAAAATAAGGTAAAGGCATAATCATTTAAACAAACTCATACGAACTTGAAATTGTCTTACAAAAACATGCAGAATAAGTCTAGAACAATTCCAAATTATCTTAACAAAAGAAACTAGAACAAGTTTGAAAAAATGGAATAGACTAATAAAACATGCATAAATAGTGATAAATAACATGATCACTCCTGGTCACCAAAATCATCAAGCTCCATCTTCAATAAGTCATCATCGTCCAGATTCATATCTCCCATCTTCAATAGGTTATCATCATAATTGTCATCTTTCAAGGTCATGTTTGCTTCAGGCAAACTGCCATGATGTTTCTCACCTTGTTTTGCCTTCCCCTTTGAGTCCTTCAGCATTCTCTGATAGGCCTCAACCAAATGTTTCGGTGTACGACATGTGCGATACCAGTGGTCCTCACATCCACACCTATATCAAGCTTGCTTGTTATTTGCAACCTGTTGATGAGAGTTAGGCTTGTGTGAAGGAGATGTATCCTTGCTCTGACACTTACCACGGTCCTGAAGACCATTAGCATTGTGACGACCACGACCCCTACCACCACGATAAGACCTGCGACCACGTCTACGACCTCTACCATGTCCACGCCCATGAGTATTACTCTGATTTGCGGTATGTGCTTCAGGCACAGCTTGCGAACCAACTGGTCTAGCATTATGGTTGCGCATCAGAAGTTGGTTGTGTTTCTTTGCAACTAGTAATGCAGAGATCAATTCAGAGTGTTTTGAATAGTTTTTGGTACTGTACTGCTGCTGGAGTATAAGATTACTTGCATGGAATGTAGAGAGGGTCTTTTCAATCAATTCAGTCTCTGTAATGTTCTAGTTCTACTTACAGAGCTTCAGCTATGAGACAATGCGGTGGAGAGTTGAATTGTATTCAGTCACGGATTTAAAATCCTGAAATCGCAAGTTCAACTAATCATATTGTGCTTGCGGGAGCATAATAGCCGTCTGTTGGTCAAAGCGATCCTTCAGGGATTGCCATAGAATAGCAGGACCTTTTTCAGTAAGGTACTCATTTTTCAGGTCTTTGTTAAGATGATGACGAAGAAAAATCAATGCCTTTTCCTTCTGGGCAGAGGTGCTCTGAGAAGCTAGAACAATAGTGTTGCTTAAATCACAAGAATCCAGGTAGATTTCAACATCCAAGACCCAAGTCAAGTAGTTGCTGCCATCAACGACAAGCTCAGCAAATTCTCTTTTGGTGATGTTAGACATTGTTCAGAAATGCTATAATTATCATTAGAAGATATATCAATCCACCAAATTTATAAAATATTGCACTATACAAGGTGTGCATACAAACAGAAGCGAATAAATAAAGGAGCCACAAATAATTAGTTACAGTGCATGCCTCTGTTCTAATTAGCTAGGACAAGTGATCAATCAATAAAAGGTGTGCATTTGCAAATTGTATTAAACCAAACTGTATGAAATCAACATATAATAAATGGTTTATATGCATGTATATTATATAACAAATACGAGAAGGGGAAGATTCTATATATATAAAAACAAACAAAAAGTGAATGTTTGTTTATTTATTTTTACAAGATGAAAACAAATTGTATTCATAATAAGACCAACATACATGTTCGTGTGTTTATAAAAGGACAACTGCGCAAATATATCATCATCACATGATTCGCATAAAAACAAACCAAAGAATTGCATATCATATTGGACATAATCATAATCATTCGACGGAAAGATTGATACTATGTAAATAGACAAAGGCCGAATGTATTATTACCTTGCAGAAGATGTATACCTAAAAATCTTTGATACTATGTAAATAGACAAAGGCCGAATGTATTATTACCTTGCAGAAGATGTATACCTAAAAATCTATTACTACGAACCGATGATCACGAACCGGCTAGAGCCACTCGTGCTGATAACGTATTGTAATATACTAAAGAAATGAAAACAAGAGACAAGAGACAAGAGAAGAAGAGAAATTGTAATTTTTATTCCTATTAATCCATTTCCATACATGGTATAATTTATAGATACATAATGGAAGATAAAAGGACATTGGGCTAATGAAAAGACACCAAGTTAATAGTCCACATACAAAGTAATATCCACATACATTTTGTCTTTTAGATTTCAACAAGAACCTAATACTTAGTGATTTATTGATAATAATGGAGACCAATAAGAATTCAATGTTTTGAAAAAAAAAGGAACACCAATAAGACAACTAATGTTTTAGAGATTTATCAAATATCATATATGTATCTATAATTAATTTTGCTATTTTAGTATTTTATTTAACTAGATTTGCATAATAATTTTATATGAATCAAAAAAGACAAAAATAGGTATTTTTCTTTTTTCTTTTTTTATTGGCTAGTATAACAGAGGGGGAAACCCTCAGACAATAAACAAACTACGCACAAAGAGAACCATCCTTAGAGTGCATCACTTGAAGCCATTTCTTTCCTGCAATGTCTTGATCAATGAACTGATAAATTCAACTTGACATATCTTCGAGAACTGCACGGTCAAAATTCTAATCGATACATAATTTTGCAAGAAAGTCCGCTGCATGATTCGCCTTCTTGTATGATGCCCAAATTGGGGATTTTGTTCCATTATGATTGTGTTTAACGTACCTAACCGTGGCTATTTGTAGGGGTGTCCAATTGAGCGGTTCGGCCCGGCTCAGTATCAGGCTTGGACCAAGCTGGGCACGAACTCGGCCCGGGCTTGAGAAAAGCTCAGAAAATACGGCCCGATCAGATTCTAAGCTCGGGTGTAGGTTGTGTTGTTGTGTTGGTGAAGCCCAACCTAGTTATTAAATTTATATATTTTTAATATATATTTTATATATAATTATATTATGGTCATTAATGTATATTTATATGTATTTCTAAGTGTATATAGTTTTTTTGAGAAAAATGGTTGTAGCTTCCTAGTCCTAAATGTATATAGTTGTATATTTTTAAGTACGTAAGTGTGTGTCTCTATATATACACACACATACACATACTTGTAAGTATACAAGTACATTATATTATATATATATACTTATATATAAACTCTTATCACGGTATAGATACTAAGATATAAATATATAAGTATATATAATATAGTTATAAGTATACTTATATGTGTATATTATAGACTTATAGTTATATAAGTATATTTTATATAAGTACATAAGTACATAAGTACAATTATATATAAGTATATTGCAACTAGTATATATAAAAGTATATCGTATAAGTAAAGTATATAACTATACTTAAATACGCATAATATAAGTATGCAATAAATACATATATTAATATATAATACGTAATTATAAATAAGTAATATATGCTTATGTGATACTCTCTCTCTAAAGTTATAACTTATAAGTACATACAATATACTTATATATAATAATGTGCATATAATTTATAACTATATACTAATATGTAAATATATACTAATACATACTTATATAAATGTAATAAGATTAATCTAATTTTTAAGTAAATATTTGAAAAAACAAACAAAATAACAAAAAAATTTCTGGATTGGCCCGGAGTCCGGCCCGGGCACCCCGAGTCTAGGGCTGGGCATTTTGCCCAGCCTAGATCTTGAAATCCAGGCCGGGCAGGGATAGTATAATTGGATCACTGTCAAGACCTGACTATTGATTCGTATATGTTTACTAGTAAAAGTAAACGTTAATTGAAGGAAACAAATAAACATTAATTACTTGTTTGGTGTACTTTATAGCTCCTGGATCGCTCGCCGTAAAATTAGGCTGCCGTGCAGGAGCACTGTAGAATATTTGCCGACAGGGAGATTAAGATAAATCACACCAAGCATGCCCTGAATTTACAAGATTAGAGAAAATTCTACTTCGTTAATTATGTGCGTATTTGTGATTTTCAATGACGCCGGAAGGTAAAATTTGATGGATAAATGTCGATTCAATTTCAATAAGCACATGCATGCCCATATGACAAAAAGTATGCAGTCACATTGGAGACACTTTGTTTACTAATTAATCATGTCCTGGAGTGGGTCTAGATTCTCTATAATTTTGATTGTAGAGAAAGTCTAAAATTAACTATCTTAACTAATCATGTCCACTGAATGAGGATGTTTGATTGGTAAATTGTAGAATTTCTTTACAATTAAGGATGTAGAAGATATCTGCTAGTATATCACCATTCACATATAAAGCGCAATGACTTCTTGTGAAACTAGCCAACAAGAAAATTTTATCATATATTACTAAGTGATCTTGGATGCTTCCCATTTGCAATAACAGTTGGAATTACGTGTGAAGAACGAAATTTTAATCACTTCATTGCACAATTATACTAATCAAACCGCAAACTATCCATCACGTGTGAAGTAATCGTTAATAACTTCCAAGATTGGTGAAACTAAGCCACCAAACCAATCAAACGTTACACTTTCTTAATCACTTATTACTGTGCAAAGACCACTTCGAAAAGTTGACCAAGCTTTTGATGATTTCTAGCTTGCTCGCTTCACCAACCTTACTCACATTAGCTGATCTCCCCTTGACTCAAAGCACTTGCTTGACTTGTATCTACATCATATAAAACTAGGTAGAGCCCTGTTAATTATTGCAATCCCACCAGCCTAGCAAGCGAAAATACAGCAGCTTTCAAAATGTTTCATGCTCGATTTGTTCTATTGGTACTGATGGCAACATTGCTGTTGGCAAATTTTGGGACCGTGTCTTGGGCTCAAGATCAGTCTCAGCTGAGCCTGGATTACTACAAGAAGACTTGCCCTGATGCTGAAAAGATTGTGAGGACTGAGATGGAGTGCATGGTTCGCGAGGATCCTCGCAATGCGGCTGCTATTCTTCGACTCCATTTTCATGATTGCTTTGTTCAGGTCAGTCAAAGTTCAGTATCTTAGTTTCACGTACTTCCAACTTCATTTTCAACAACATATCGAAAACCGTATAAGTGATTTATCTTTTGACTGCTGTACCACAGAAAAGTTTTTTTAAACTGCTGACTTCGAGTTCAATAGTAATATTTTTACTGAAAAAATTGTACGTACTTGTGCAGGGATGTGATGGATCAGTGTTACTGGATGACACTATAACGCTGAAAGGTGAAAAAGCAGCAGCACAGAATTTGAATTCTTTGATTGGCTTCGACTTGGTGGATCGTATAAAGAATCAGTTGGAGTCTCAGTGCCCTGAAACTGTGTCTTGTGCTGATCTTCTCGCTATAGCAGCTAGAGATGCAGTTATCCTGGTATGATATGACAAATACAAATCTCAACATAGTTTTCAATCATATTTACATAGATAGAAATCTCATTCCCTAGTAAATACATCCAATATTTTCTTAATACAGAACAATTAGACTAGTCTCAACTTCTTGAGATTTGATGTTTTCATTTGCATCTAATAAATCTTTGAACAAACGCACAGAGAGAAGAGAGTTCCAGTTATTAATAAGCAATGCAATGCCTCAAATCGTAAGGATCTTTCGGGATCTTTTAAAATTTATGTAGCCTGCTAAGCTTTCCATATGCCAAATTAAAACAACAAGAATAGAATTATTTATTGTATCACAATTCTTCATAAAAGTATCCACTTTTCACGTTTAGATGTAATCTTTGTAGCTGAAATACTTAGTAAGGTCAACACTTGATCATTTTAAAAAAATCAACGACCTATTATCTCAGATAAATTAGCATAAAATATGAAGGCATGCTGAAAGTAGACGCCAGTTTTGAAATTTGTCAATAAATAATCAAGTCCATGCAGGTGTGCAAAGGTAAAAGAGGCAATTACATTAGAAACCAGCAAGAATGACAATGAACAATTTAGCTGCGAGAAGATTAATTTAAACCTGAAGAGGTTTTCCACAATCCAAGAGTATGATTCTATGCATGATTGAATGTGCAAACCTAATGGCTCTATATCTGTTATTAGTCATTTATATATCTTGCAGTAATTTCATATTTTGCAGGTTGGAGGACCCTATTGGGATGTTCCGGTTGGAAGAAAAGACTCTAAAACCGCAAGTTTGGAATTAGCTAATTCCGATATACCAAGTCCTGATCAAGGCCTCATTCCTCTCATCACCAAATTCTTTGAGAAAGGCCTCTCAGTCACAGATATGGTAGCTTTAGTTGGTATATTTCTTCTCTTGTAACCCCCCTAAATTCTACTGTCAATATCTGCACATGATCTCTCTATTACGACTACCCACACTAAATGCAATAAGATCTTAATGCTGTGTGTCACAGGTGCACACACCATTGGAATGGCTCGATGTGTCAATTTCAGGGACAGAATCTACGGGGGTGACTTTGAACTTACATCACATTACAATCCAGCATCAGAATTATATATCAACAAGCTAAAATCAACCTGCCCCTTAAGCGGAGGAGATGATAATATTACCCCAATGGACTATGTTACCCCTACACTCTTCGATAATGCATTCTTCGAGTCACTTATTAAGGGAGATGGGCTTCTGAATTCTGACCAGGAGATGTACTCAAGTCTTGTAGGCTTTCAGACATCTGACCTTGTGAAGACATATGCCGCTGATCCTATTGCTTTCTTCAAGCAGTTTTCGGATTCAATGGTGAAGATGGGGAACATTACTAATCCTGAGGGCGGTGAAGTGAGGACTAGCTGCAGATTTGTGAATACATGAACACTGAATTCTGATTCTACTGTGCCTGAATAATTTTGTGAGTGTGTTTAGTGTTAACAAATATCTAAAAAAAGATTGTTGTGTGGTAGCATTATTGTCATGTCTTGAGAGAAAATTTCCTATATCAATACGTATACACCATGAATGAATTCAATTTATTCTCCACTACATTCCATGAAATTTCTCAGAACTTATCTCTTGAAATTAATTGGAAATCAACTCTACACATTATGCTATTCTCCACAAGAGCTCATAGACCATTATACAAAATACACTAAAAAAACATTTAACTCACTTTTTACTGTACAAGTTCTTCAATAACAACACTCTACCTTTCTGTTTGAATTTATTATCTTTTTATCATCATCATCATCATCATCATTACCTTGGTCCAGAGAGCTCCATTGCTTGTACCAGAAGCGATGAATCATCAGTAAGATCAGAGTAGCAGCGCTCTGAATTAGATGAGGACTCAGGCACTTTGAACTTGGGAGGTGGGTCAAGCCCCTGAGAGGCTTCCCACTTCTCAGCAAGACCATCTCCTTCCAGCATTCTCACTACCTCTGACATCTTTGGCCGGTGGCCTGGGAGATATTGGGTGCATAGGAGTGCGACCTGAACCATCTCTTCAAGCTCTACATGATCATACCTGTTCTTCAGGTCCTTGTCCACTAGCATGTCAAGTTTTTTCTCTAGGTGAACTTTTTTCACCTGAATGAAAGAGACCAAACCAACTTTGTTAGCTGCGTGCAAGCTAATGTTTTCTTTTTGAACTGTGAATAAGTGCGATACTTACACAAAACATTGAGTATTAATTGAAGGGTAAGGTGATATGGTAATCTTTTGCGAATAACAGTGGGTATAAGTACACAAAACATTGTGTACTAATCGAAGGGTAATGTGATTGCTTTTGCTACTATGACCTTCCCAATCACAATTTTCACAAGGAAATGATTTTCTTAAGATTGAGCTGCTTTACCTGTCACTTGATTTAAGTATTAAGCTAATATAATCATGAGCAGAAAAAAACTTGAAATAAAATGGAATCAAGCCTGCTATGCAACATATTTCGCTACCTAGTTAGTATAACTATTATGCTTTTCAGAATGAAGTACAGATGCTCTAATTCAGCTGCTTGACGTCACTTTTGGATGCCTAAAAAGGATTTGGATCAGATGAGGGATAAAATAAAATGTTTTATGACAATGAAGTATTCAAATATTTTCAAATTTATGCTTACCCATTCTATCATGGCTCCTTTCTGATTTGCCGCCTTCCCAAACTCAAGAGCAGTCTGGCCAGTGATCAGTTCAAGAAGAAGAATGCCAAATCCAAACACGTCAGTTTTCTCAGAAGATTGGCCTGTTGAGAGATACTCGGGAGCTATATGACCAACGGTACCTCTAACAGCAGTAGTCACATGAGAATCCTTGTGATCCAAAAGCTTTGCTAGCCCAAAATCGCCAACTATGGCCTCACAGTAGTCATCAAGCAGTATGTTTGCTGCTTTGACATCTCGGTGAATTATCTTGGGATCACATTGTTCATGGAGATAAAGTAGACCTCTTGCTGCTCCCAGTGCTATTCTCTTTCTTGTACCCCACTCTAGTGATGGCTTACCTGTTGGTTAAAGAATGATAAGAGGTCTTTTTCTTTTTCTCTTAAAGACATTTTTCTTAAACTTTTGAGGATCTACTTTTTGCTTCCATGCGTAGGGGCATGTTTGGCTGACATCATAATAGTTTTGGGAAATTATTTCAAAACCCATAATTAAGTAGGTACTAGTAGAAAAATGAACAAACTAGACGAAACAAACTAGACGGAATTTTTTCCATCTAGTTTGCCTCAAACTAGACGGAAAATTTTTTGTCTAGTTTGTTCCGTTTAGTTTGAATCAATCTAGATGGAAATTTCCGTCTAGATTGACAAACTAGACGGTTTTTATTTTTTTTTAAAATAGACATTCAACCTAGACGGAAATTCCGTCTATAGGTTGTCTAAAAAAAATTTACGCCTCCCTCTTTTTTCATTTGCCCGCCTATTTTTTCATTTCCTCCCCCTCTTTTTTCATTTCCCTCTCCATCTAAAATGGGCCAAACCCGCTCTCTCTCTACAAACCCCCAAATCTCTCTCTCTCATCTCCACGCCGCCCGTCGTCCTCTACTTTCACGGCGGACGACGAGCTTCTGAGACTCCACGGCGTCAGCAATAGAGAGGGCGGGGGTCTTCCGAGCAAGCGGGCTCGAGGTCGATGACGAAGCCGACATCGATCCGGTGGAGGATGGCGTAGAAGGGCTTGCCGGAGTGCTTGGAGTGGACCCGGATGGGGTTTAGGAGGGTGATCTCGCGGGCGGTAGCGGCGCGCTCGAGGAGTGGATCCAGATCTGGTTCTCCGCCGCTGCGGTGTTCTGATCATCCTCCTCTCCCATATCACCACCGTCCTTCAAATGTCGTCACCCTAACGGTTGAAACATTCGGTGTCGAGGTAACTCTGCACCCGCTGAAATCTTCGTCTCTCAAAATTTAGGTAGAATTTGTTCGTTTATTTTTGTTCGCTTATAAATCTATGGATTATTTTATCGAAGTTAAAATTCAGTAGTTACACTCTTTGGATAGTGAGAAAAATGCAGACTGAGATGAGAAAAAGTGTTTTTTAGGGTTTTTTTGAAATTAGGAGTTGGGTCATTGAATTTGAGTAAGGGGAAGTTATGATCGTAAATCCCTACGAATGTGCTGTGAATTTCTCATGTAGGGTTTACTTGGTTGTATCTAAATCGACCCATTTGGCCTTTGAAATTGAAAGATATTAATAGGCGAGAGTAGTGAATGATTGATATTTTTGCGAGCTTAGAGGCATTGTGGGTTTGGGTTTGACAATGAGATGGAGGGGGGAAATTAAGCACGGCCGAATGCATAGAATATCACTTGTGTTTTCTTTTGACCGGATTACCCTAGGCATTTGTATCATACAAATATAAATGTAGAAGCACAATACATGAAGAACATGGTGAAATAATGGAGTTGCGTATTAGCCGTTCAAATTTCTCTGATGTTCAAAGAGGAATACATTAACAATGTATCGTGTTGTAATTAGGATTCTCTATTGAAGGGCATGCATGATTTTATAGATGGCCAAGTGTGAGTGTCTTTGTGGGTAATTTGAATTATACTCTTGTATTATCAAGGATTCAATTGCAAATTTGATCCACACTTTTTCCCCCTAGGCCAAGCATTCATAAAATTTATGTTTAATTTGTTTCTTTTTTCAGTTTATAAATCAGATATCTTTTAAAGTGCCCTGTGAAAATATTCTCCTTGCCTATATACACTCCCCTCCATTTACCACCCACCCACCTGTACACACAGATCACCACATAGATACCCCAACGCGCTATAATTTTTGCTAACTTTCCTATTCCATATTTTATGTTTGCATACTATTGACTCACCATTTTTGAATGATAGGTGAAAGATGCTCTGGTATAGTTTGAGAATGCACTTGATATGAATCCAAATCCTATCGAAGCCTAAGCAGCAGTGTACAGCAAAGCCTGCTGCCATGCTTACAGGAATGATTTTTATCTTTCTTTTCTATGTTGTCTTATCTGAAAGATGTTGGTTGATAAACAATAATCCTATTCTTGTATACGTCCCTTAATTCTTCTACAAATTAGAATTGTTTCATACATATTGACACACATTTTCCCTCCGTAACTTCTTTTCTTGTTGAGCGTCAACAGCCTCCTCCGGTGTAAGTTATTCTTCTACAAATTAGAATTGTTCTCTCCTGTTTATGCTTGCTTATGTTTTATATCCCATTGGTTTGTTCTATTGGATTTTTTATTTCTTATTTGGATTTTTTTATCTTGTATTGATACAGGAGGAGGACATGTGTTTGGAGATTGTATACTACTCTGAGATGAAGGATGTCAGTTTATTTGATTCTGATTGGGAATAATACTGCTTTGCCTCTACTGTTGCGCGCAGCGAAAATTTCGACAGAGTTTCTGGTGCACAATAAGAGAGAAAGATCAATAAGAATTCTCATCTCACCAAGGAGACAAGAATCTGAAGCAAATATCTCAACAAAGTGAGATATCGGCTCTTCCTCTCATCAGTTCTAGGACTGACTTGTCGAGGGATCCTAAAACTATTACAATGACCACAAACACAAACAAACCAATTTTATATGGTTCGACAAATTGCCTACGTCCACGGGGTAAGGACGGGAGAGATCTACTATTAGAGGGAAAGAATACAACTAGGGTTTACAATCTCATAATCTAAACCCTCAAACAAACTCTCAGATCTCTCACACAAATATCTCTCTCAAAAGTACAAAATGACTGTTTGCACAAAGCCAAAGAAAGCTGCTGACTTTTCTTTTGCACCTCTGCCTGTGCCTGTTCTCTGCAACCACCGCTTTGCGCTTCTGCCCACTTGCACGCACGAAAATAAAAACCTAGCACATGTATTTATAGGCTGCTCCACGTTAATCAATCTCGTGGTGGGCCTGCTGTCTCCGCCCACAAGGAGAAATCTCCTTACGCGTTTATCTCGTCACGTGGTGGGCCACACCTCTTCACCTCTTCACGCAGCTGCACCTCTTCACGCGGTTTCTTGCTTTGCGGCTGAAGCGTGGTGGCCCCCAACGTGCTTCACAATTCTCTACATCGGTGAAGTTTTCCTAAAACTGAGCCCACACCAACCAAAATAAATATCTCACTTGTTACATCCAGGACGAAGTAAAAACAATTCACGACAACGGACTCAATCCACAACAAGTCGACACCCAAATGAGAATGCAAACACTCTCCAAATATTGGTATTAACTTACCAAATCGATCTTACTCTCTGTTGGCCTTCTTGCTTTGATGATGTTTAACAAACAATTTACCACTAATGTTGTTTGTCTAGTATTTATGTTTTCGTATTTATTGTAGACAAACAACGTTGTTGGAGGATGGATGGAATCGAGCCTTAACGATCATATCAAATGGAGGTTGGCGAATTTATGGAGTGAAGCAATGTTAATTCAAGTTAAAGATCCAATTACAAGCTTCTTCCGCAAAGTTTACCAAGTCATGCTCATTGAAGACCTTCATCAAGCTTGAGTATATTTAGTATAGGTTTATATTATGTGTGTTAATTCTATAAGCTCAAATATACACACACATATATATTTGTGATTTTCTTAACTATAAGTGTTTTTATGCAAAATAAGTTTTGGACTATATTTACATCATAAACAACTTTTATTATGTCCATATAAATATTCCATAAGTTTTTAAAACTTGTTTTGAGTCAAAAATAACAATCACATGTTTTTCATATATACGTCTTTTAGTGCTTTTGCAGAATACAGTGTTTTTTCACAAATTATAAATGCAAATTGATAAATTCTTTTTCTAACATGTTTGTTTTCATGTTTACAAACATTTCGCAAAGTTTCATCAAGTTTGGAATTAATTTGTTATGTTTAATGGAATTTACAAAATCATGTTTTTCATTCGTGCATGTTCGTGCATGTTTTACAAAACAGATGAGTTTTCATAAATGGGAAGTGATATTCAAGAAATTCTTTCTTTGACATGTTTATCTACATGTTTAGAAACTTCCCTCAAAATTTTACTATTTTTGGAGTTGATTTACTGTGCCTAATTGATTTTACAAAATCGTATATGTTAATAGTTTTTCAGAAACTGTAAATTTGTGTTCAAATATTTATTTCTCTCAACTGGGAAAAGATTTTTTAGAAATTCTTTCTCTGACATGTTATTCTACATGTCTAGAACATTCCTACAAAATTTTATAATTTTTGGAGTTAATTTACTATTTTAAATTGATTTTACAATACAGCTGCGCACTGCTACAGTACTCCGGTCGACCGGAAATGTCTCTGGAGGTTGGTTACTGTAGCTAACGGCTATATTTTCCAGATTTATATATATCCGTTATTTTGTCTTTTTGCTTGGTTTTCTTGGGTTTTTGGGCTTGTTTCATGAGCCTATATATACTCCATGCCCTCATACTTCTAAGGGCACTTAAGAAATGTTTTAAACAAGTTTAAAGAGTTTTAAACAAGGGTTTAAGTGTGTTAGTGTTTGTTTTGGTTTATGAAGAAGTTTTCACAAGTGGAGGAGATCATCTTCTTGTTTGGGCTCCAATCTCCATCTCTCCATCTTGTCATCTATTGGAGAAGTTTTCTAAACTCTATCTAGCTTTACATTTGCTTAGTTATTTGATTATCATTCTTTAAAGCTAGTTTTTTATATTGAGTTTAGATTTGATTATATTATCTCATTGTTACACACACAACCATTGAGCTTATTATATTTGCATACATTATATAATTAGGTTATGGGATAATGTGACATTGAGTTGAGCCTAATTGAGTTCTCACCTTGTTAGAGAGAACAATCATTTGTTAAATTATGCTTATTGTGAGATTCACTTTGTAATACACTTGTACACCGAGTGAGGAGTGTGTGATGAGAGTCGGGGATCGTCCCAAGAGGAGTGACGTCGGTTGACGTGCCTAGGGAGAGGTTGTGACCGAACACTTGAGGAAGACACGGCTAGGTCCAACACTTAGTGGGTGTAGAGTGGGATTACAATAG